AGCGCGAACTCGAGGGACTCCCCCTGCAGCGCAAACGATAGGGATCGGATTAGCTGTTCTGGATGCAGCTTTGCCATCGGAGCCGACGGCCCGTTGTGCTTCTTCTTCTTCTGTTTCAGCTCCTCCGGGTCTTCGATCTTGCCCAGCCTCAGCGTGCCCTCCTCTTCTGAGCCCTTTGTCTCCCATAGGCCGAGTTCAACAATTTCGGCTACGTGCTCGGCCGTCCAGTCAACCTGGCCGGTACCGCGCAGGTACCGGCCCATGAACATGGCTGAAACAGGTGCGCCCTCTTTGATAGTGCGAGGGCCGGACCTAGAATGAACTGATGTATTTCTACGCTGGTTTCTGGAGAAGGTAGCAGCTGTAGCCCCCATTTGGAGGCAGAATTTCTTCAAGTAGCCGGCTACATCTGTCGGGGCACCGCCTACGAAGAAGTTTGTGTCCTCCATAACCGTTGTCACAAGATCCATATCCGACCAGCGTTGAGACATGAGTTTCTCGCTCTGTAGTGCGTTGTAAAGATGTAGCGAATAAGTGATGGAACCCCATGCATTCGCAACCGCGATGCCGCCATCCCAAAACTCGGCGCGAAAATGGTAAAGCATCAGGCCACTGAGAACCGGCGACATTTTCAGGATGCGATTGCGTTCCATGGAGGCGGGAACAGGCTGGCCAAGTTCTGCGTACGCCTTGAGCTTCGCACTGAAAACGGGATCGCTCAGCACCCAGCGTATCCTCGTCTGGGTCTTCTGGATCGCCTTTGTATTTTCCGCGGCCCAATTCTTGAACCTGATTTTTATGTCGCTGTGGTACTCCAGATGTTGGTCGATCTCCTTATCAAAGAAGTTTAGGTTGGTTTCGAGGGTGCCAAATGCTCTTGCCGCCTGCGCACGAACAGTATGATGGATATCCAGGAAGATTTGAGCGGCGAATACTAGACAAAACGAGATCTCTCCCGTTTTGGACAGCTCCTTGACTCCGCGTAAGAACTCGTCTTTGACAGGATAGTAACCAACTACTCTGTCCAAGGCGACCAGCTCCGTAAAAAATGACACGAGCAGGACTCGGTCCTCTTCAAACTTCTCCAATCCAGACTTGGAGGTTCGGTCGCTCTGCGGATCATAATGGCCAAACATCCCATCCTTGTACAGTGGAACATTTCCAGGTTGAAGTACCGTGGACAACGACTCTAACATCCTGCACGTCAGGATATAGGTTCCATCAGCAATATCGTATGTGTCGTAGTTGAAATTGTTCGGGCCGTTGGTGGGTAGTTCAGCAACGTCGTACCCTTTCCTCATTGCTTGGACCAGGTAAAACCTGGTCAGAACCTTCGATAAGCCGCCTTGGTCGCGTAGTAGGGGTTTGACTTCATCCACTATAGTCCATGTTGTTAGTGGTTAAGCTATGTAGAAAGACTGCAGACAAGGGGAAGTATATGATGCCGTAGGCTTAAAAACCACGTTCTCCCGTTATGTTCGCGGGAGGAAGTAATACAAAAAGAAAATAGAAATAGAAATAGGAAAATAGGGGTTGAAAATCCCTGGAATTGACTTACTGAGATCCCTTGCCAAGTCGATTGCGGTGTTGGTAGCAATAGCAGCTGCTGAGAGATCGAAAGAGCCATCTCTCCAGTTAGACCAGATCCATTCGACACGCGCTCGGATCTTGTTGATATCATTGATCAGCATCGTCAGAGCAATGTCGAGATCCTCGAGGGACGTATGTTGTTCTGCTTCGTACACCGTATTGTCGCCTTCTGACGGCTTGGGTCTCTCGATGCCAGGCGCATTCATGAAGTCGTCCGAAGGCTCGTACAATTTCAAGGCGTCGAACCGGTTCGAGAAGCTATCAGTAGCAACCGTATCCGGCTTCTCGCCAGGAGGGCCGGGGATTGGTGCAGTCGACGTTGGTTTCGCTTGTGGGTGCAAGACCTTCTCCACCTTCTCGAGTATACCCACGAAATACTCATGTTTGTGATCGCCCAACTCATCTGCTGCAGCTCCTTCCTCCGCGATCTTGGTGCTAAATTCTCTACGAGCAGAGATTACTCGATGCAAGGTCGTGATGAGTGAATCCGGGATGGACACACCGCGCTTGGACGCTACGAACTCCGCTAGGGGCACAAACTCTTTGATCTTGATGATGTATTTGTTGACCAATGTTGGTTTCGCAGAGGGTGCATCTTGCTTCTTCTTAGCTTCAGCTCGTGCCTTACCCTTTAGCCGTGTTGCTGTCCCTTTGTGGGAAGAGCCGCCGGTTACGACATCGAATACATAGCCGCACGACTTTGCCGTCGAAGCAAGCCAAGCAGCAATGGAGTCGGTATCGCTCTTATACTGTTGGTATGAACCGATGAGAGACGGCGGCAACATATTGAAAAATGTGCAAACACTCAGTTGTTTGATATTTAGGTAGGTAGGTAAGGTTTTGATGAAGATGACGCGCGCCGACCAAAACCACGGAGGCGCCGAATGGGTTTTGTAATTCCACGTGAAAAACTCCATGTTTCTTGTGATATAAGAGCACCACAGGAAAAGTCGCGACTCAAATACCTAGGTACATGTGGTGCTGTAAACCCTAAACCTTGTTGGCCGAGAAACACTGAATGAATCAAATTTAAGCCAGTTCACCGGTACAGTACGAGGATTTCGCGACCTCATCTGATGATGTATTTGTTGACCAATGTTGGCTTTGGTCGGTGCACACTGTATCTTCTTAGTTTTAACTTTTGCTTTCTTTTTTAATTGTGTTGATATCCCTTTGCTGAAGGGATCGTTAGTTATGACATTGAATATATAACCATACGATTTTGCCGTTAAAGGAAGTTAAGTGGTTATGGAATTGGTATTGTTCTTGTATTATTGATATAAATCGATAAGGGATGGCGGTAATATATTGAAAAATGTGCAAATACTTAACTATTTCATATTGAGCTATATAGGAGGAGCAGTACGCTAGGAGTCTAGACACTTAGGCCACCAGGAACCAGGGAGTCTATCAGAGCCATCAGGGGCTTCTCAGCCTGGACAAAGGAGGCTCATGTATATGAACCCGGGACCTGCCCGTGGCCGCTAGCTTTTAGAGAGGACCCCTCGTGCCACAACAGAGTTCTCTCCTATGCTTCCATGGTCTGCATCGTGACACGGTATGGCCCGTACTAGGGGGGCAGTATCGAGAAGTGACAGCTGGCAGACTCGTCCCTACCATTTTTTATCTCTATATACCTAGCCCTGAGATACTGGTATCAGGCACGGGGAGTGATCGGAGTGATGAATGATACGATTCGGCGACCTGGCTGCTATGAGCTAGAAACAGTATAATCCTAGAGCTCCTCCGTAATGCCATGTGTCTCTCCAGCTAGAAGATGGGAGAATGAAGCCCCTTTTATACACCTGTGAGCTGCCAGCTACCCTCCTGGGAGTAGCCCTAGCCCTGATATCTCTATCTATACTACCCTACACAACCTGCCTCTGACAACTGGCATACTGATCTTCATTTCAATAACTACATATACTACCAGATAGTATAATGGCTAGTATGATTAGTATGCCAGTATGACCAGCCAATATGACCAGCCAATATGTTGGTATGGTTAGTATAACTATTTTGACTAGTATGGAGTATGGCTATATATCAGCATGTCTGTATGTCTGTCTGCATGTCTGCATGTTTGTATATCTGTATGACCAGTATGGAGTACCTATGTAGGTATGCCAGCATGTAAGAGTTAAGTATATAGGAATTAAGAAAGTGGTAGGGGACAAGTCTGCCAGCTGTCATTTCTCGATACTGCTCCCCTAGTAAAGCCCTTAGTATTCAGGTAAGGTTCTGTCTGATGAAGATCACTTAAAGACCTGGTTCAATAAGAACACCACAGGAGGAAGTCGCGACTCAAGTACCTAGGTAAAAACAAACGGCTAGCTGCAAACCTTAAACCTTGTTGGCCGAAAAACACTAAATGAATAAGTTTGAGCCAGTCCACCGGTACAATACAGGATTTTGCGACCTCAATATCAGAATGGAAAAGGGCGGGGGAAAATGGGAAAAAGGGAAGGGAAAAGGAGAAAAAGAGAGGAAAAAGAGGGAAAAAAAACATTTTGATAGCCGGCCTGCAGCCCAGGGTATGGAGTCAAATTGTCCTTATGCGACCTACTAGGGATTCCGTGCCGTCATTTACATACAGCAACTGCCTCAGCCCATACCGTAACTGACCCTACTACTTCAACCTCCTACAAGTTGGTCAATATCGCATCCCAAGGGTCCATTCATAGTTTTCTCAACTTCTTGGTCGAGTGATATAAATATGATATGTTACTATTCATAGGTACTCTAAAGTGGTGACGAAAACCCTGGGGGATATTACTTGACGAAGCGACGAGGCTAGCGCCGCCGCTTCGAACGCTTATAGAAGCACATAGAGAAAAATGCACCACCTGAAACATATATAAGAAGATAGCCCTAGGCTTAGAGATATATTCGTGTAAGTTATACATTATACCAGCCAAGTTGGAAGAAGTTATCCAAATATGAAGATGTGTTTGTGTGAGGAGCAAGGGAGATACATACCTATATACTCCGCTAAGGCAGGTCAGCCCTATCGATAAGCTCAGCTGAAGAAGAACCGCCTCCCGAAATCATCACCAATTCTTTTATATTTTACCTCCAAATGGACTTAATTCCTATATCTTACACACTGTGGTTCGAGATGCCTTATAGCCTGAGAGATCTGGTTCATCTCTTCGTCATTTATATAATGGTGATTGCTTGTGGTACAATAGAGCCCTTTGATCGAACGAGCCATAAAGACCATGGCAATTGTATGAAATTCTAATCCGATAAAATCTGAGCTGAGAAATGAATTGCATACTCGCTCCTCTCAAGAGCACCACGCGCAAGTTCTTAGAAGACAGAGAGAAAAGGGGGAAGAGAGGGGAAAAAGGAGGAGGGGGAAAAGGGCGGAAAAAAATGGGAAAAAAATGAGAAAAAAGGGGATTTTTCACCCAACGTGGGACTCGAACCCACAGCCTCTAGATTAGAAGTCTAGTGCTCTACCATTGAGCCAGCTGGGCTAGGGATTTAGTTGCAGATGAAAAAATGAGTGTTAGAACGGCATAAGTAGTCTATGGCTCAGTGGCTGCTGTCCTAGCCATCGGATTGGCTAAGGAAGGCCATTCTCCACTAAAAAAAACCTTAGCTCTAGCTCCCGGTACTGAGGCTGTGAGGACGCTTTTAAAAGTGGAACTCATATGGGTCAGTGAACATGGAAACTTTTGAAGCGCACTTTGCCAGGGGGTCCGTACTAGGTATGTATGTAATACTGTAGGTAGTGGGATGTAAGATAGATGCCATGACTAATAGCTTTATTACTGTACAATTCTAGGTAAAAGAAACTACCTCTACCTACATGTATTTACCATTTATCTTTGGCAATCCCATTAAAATCTATTCATGTGAATTCCCTTCCATTGATGCGCCCTCGGTGTTAAGTCAAAGTCGAATTGATACAATTGATTCTAGAGTATGCCGGACGTCAATTCCTCTTCTGCAAGGAGTTCCCAAGGGGCTTCAGGCGCACAAAAGCAAAAGCACGAGGAAACGGTAGACCTTCCCTCTTTCTATTCCCCGCGATCGCGGCCGGTCCGGGAGAACGAAGGCACGCTCGCGACCCGATTAGATCGTGACGAATTATCTCTCTCCTCCCTCGCCCGCACAGCGACTTCTACCTCGACTCCAACCGACGATGCGAACCGACCGCTGCCGCCCCCGTCACTCCTCTCTCCCGCCTTCACACCCCCCGCCACTCCCGGCACCGCGACGCCCACACCCGCCGCCGAACAACAGCCCCGCGGCGTTCCTGTAGACTCCACCGTGCCATCCGGTGGGTGCGGCGCGAAGAGACCGAAGCTGCTCGAGACGTTACCCGAGGTCCAATGCATCGTGCGCGCTCGTATTCCAACTACCGCTGGGACGGAGATGTTCTTGCATCTATACACCAACAACGTCGACAACAAGGAGCACCTTGCCATCGTATTCGGCCCGCACATCAGAAGCAAGTCCCTGGATGCGCCGAGGGAGGGGGAGACGGAGATGGATCGCATGGTGCGGGGCGCATACATCGGCCGCCTTTACCCGGGGAGGACTAGGAGCGATATGGTTGGTGGCTCATCATCTACTGACGGGGACCCCGAGGCGGCGGCTCTTCGTCCGAGCGGGCCGCCGCTTGTTCGGATACATTCGGAGTGCTACACGGGAGAGACCGCATGGTCTGCGCGGTGCGACTGCGGCGAGCAGCTAGACGAGGCAGCGCGGCTGATGTCGCTCCCTAGTGCCGTCAACGGCGGCATCGTCATCTACCTACGACAAGAAGGTCGCGGCATTGGCCTCGGCGAGAAGCTGAAGGCGTACAACCTGCAGGACCTAGGATCTGACACGGTAGAAGCGAACTTACTACTACGACACCCGGCAGATGCGCGAAGTTACGGGTTGGCGACGGCCATGCTGCTCGACTTGGGACAGGAAGAGATTAGGCTGCTGACGAACAACCCGGACAAGATCAGGGCGGTGGAGGGCCCGAACAGGGAAGTGAGAGTGACGGAGCGGGTGGCCATGGTGCCACTGAGCTGGAAGGGCAAGGGGGGTTTCCGAAGCCGAGAGGTGGAGGGGTACTTGAAGACCAAGGTGAGTCTTGTCTAGAGTCTTACTCGTAGCTGACTGATAACTAACTGTCTACAGATCGAGAAGATGGGACATATGTTGGATATGGGCACGCTACCGCCGTGATGCGCGTATATACTGCATATTATGTAAATACACTTAAAAGGTGACATTGCATTTACATTGATTTTAGAAGAGCATAGGATACTCTGCACCGCGATGCTGGATGGCATGTACAGTAGATTACAGCAATGTTTTGTCATTTAGATCACCACACAGATATATCTGACTCTGTAATAAAAATATACAAACATGCATCGAATAACTTTCTTCCGACTTTAGTCTTTTAAACTCTCGTCGACTTGGTGATGCATCATGAAGAATACCCCACTGAGAAGTGCCCTACTCTGCCTACTGCAGAAATGTACCCCACTTGCCCTGCAGCTTCAAAAAACCGGTCAGCGGGAACGGTCCACAATTACCCCCACTCAGCTGCTGCGCTGCTAATACATTTTTAACTTCAAATTTCGCCAAGTCCCAGTAACGCGTCGTGAATTTTATAAATTATCCAAGTTTACCTAACCGCCGCCTCTTCGCACCAAAACTGAATTGTATATCAGTAAAAGAGTGCTGGTGATGGTCCGAGAGGCAACATTTCCTTCGTGAATATTTTCGTGTTGAATTTTCTTCCCTCCCGCTACCTAGATCAGTCTAGGAATTCTACGCGTATCCTCATACATTCACATCTGCTTCTTGATCTGATTTGACTCTAAACACACGCGGCCATGGCCGACAAAGACATGCGTCTGCGTCTAGTCGTGCGCAGGGATGGCTTTCCGGAAGACCGTCTCGTCTGGAATGTGTCACTAGAAGAGGACCCGACCATCTCTAAGCTCCTAGAACAAGTAAACGAGGTCTTACCTCTAGAGATGGGCCAGAGAGGCTTGGAAGACTACGCCGTAGAGCTGCACGACGACGACGGTACCAGTTTCGAGTGTTTGCACTTTCAGCCAGTGCGAACTGTTCTCAAATCCGAAGACCGAGTCTTTATTCGAGCGCTGAATAGAGACGATAACCGTAAGCGACGAATCAGCGGTCGACATCAGATCTCTACACAGGGCAGACGTCTGATCGACGGTGTTCCTTTTGGTCGTCCCCTCCTGAAACCTTCCACCGATCGCCCTATCGTAAAACCCCCTCCGCGAAAGCGTGCTAGGATTGTGTACAATCAAGGCGACGGGGATCATGCGGACGATGGCTCGGGCGACGAAGACACCCCCATGCTACTTCTCACCAATGGGGAGCCATCGGAAGACCAACCTGCCGATTCGAGTGTCAGAATAGATGCCAGCCTCGATGATGTCGATGCCGAAGACGGCGATTTTGACAGCGAAGGAGGAGCCAATGATATAGATGAAGACGATGAGTCGGATGGCCACGGCCCGGACTCTGCACTGCCTAGCGACGACGAGGAAGAAGACCTCGAAAAGGAACTGCAGGAATTAGCTGAGGAAAACGCCGCAGCTGGGGAAGAGACGGAACCCACGACACAGACGCGAGTTTCCAAGGACAAGAAGGAGGATAACAACAAGATATCCGCATTACGAGCTGCTTTCCCGTTAGTACCAGAGGATATCTGCAAGCAAGTGCTGCAGAGCTGCTGTGGTGATTTGAAGGCAACATACTGCAGCCTAGCCGAGGGTTTTGAACCGAATCTATCCGAGTCGGCAGTGCTAGCATGGCCACAATCAGAAGGGCACGTCTCATCAAAGGCAAAGCCTACCCAAGACACTACTGCATCGAGAAGCACGTCTAGGAAGCACGTGGGTGAAAGTGGCCTCGATGACATGCAAGATGACGACGACGACCTATCCGACGAAGAAATCGAGGAGGAAGTTCCTGCTCACGTACGAGAGTTCGACCATCGCGGTCTTCCCCCTGGATCGATTTCCTCCGGAAAGGGACTAGCGCACATGGCGGCCATATCAGGTTCGTTTGCTAGCAGCAAGATGAGTGGCGGTAGTGAAACCACATCTGCGACGCTGAAAGACAGCAATACTAGTCTCGAGAAGACGGTCGAAGAGGCTGACACCACTTCGAGCGACCCGTCCAGTTCCAGCTCCGAGGATGACAGCTCGGAGAGTGATAATGAGAGTGGTAGTGACCTTGACGAGGACACATCATCTGACGATAGCGACAACGAGGATAGCGATAATGACAATATCGACTCGGACTCGGACTCGGACGATGATGATGTATTCGGGCCGCAGAACCATGCATTGGACGGTTTAGATGCATTGGACGGTTTAGATGGCGGGGGCAGCGATGACGGCAGCGACGGTAGTGACAGCGGCCCAGAGGAATCATCTACGAGACTTGCCAAGCGAGGACGCTCGCGTAAAGTCGGCGAGAAGGAGAATCTCGACCACGGAGATAATCCGAACCAAGATGAGAGTAGTGCCGACGCCTCAAGTGACAGCGATACATCTGAGGAGAGCTCCGACGAAGAATCTAGCGAAGCTGAGTCGGATCCGGAACCTGAAAAGGAAGATGTTCAGGACAAAGCACCCTCGAGTCGCACCCAGGCAGTGAAGCCGCCTGTCGTACAAAAGCCAACTAAGCAGACTGAGCCACCCAAACCACCGCCAAGCGTGGCTCCCAGCATCGAAACAGTAGCTCCTGGAACCGGCAACGAGAGAACAAAGAAGCGAAATGCTCGCCGAAGAGCCGCAAAGAAGGCCAAAAAGTTAGCACAGCAAGCCGAAGTGGCCAGCGCATCGCCTGCGGAGGGTGAAGCCCCATCTTCTGTTCCTCAAGCTGTTCTAGACGAGAAGGCCCTTTTCGAGGCTAAGCGACAGGAGTTATTGGATGCGATCGCGAGCGGCGGCGTAGATGTTAACCAATCCAGCCAGTTAGACGACGCTGCAGATTCGTCCAGATCTCCAGCCAATGTCAAACGAAAGCGCATTGAACCAGATGAAGGAAATCAGCACGTTGCCCAAGAGGACACTCCCGCAAAGACTCCCGCCAGCGAGGATGTTCAGTCATCAGCTTCCGATCAGAAAAGGCGCCGCATAGACGTTGGCGCCGGCCGTAGACTTATTTTTGGCTCTCTAGGTCTTCGCAACCCCAAGACAAAGGAAGATGAGAACAAACTTAAGGAAAAGCTCATGAAGGATGTCCGGCCACTAAAGAACGCAAGACTGGAGGATCAAGAAAACGCGGTGCCACACGCGAACGAAGATGGCGAAGAGCCAGCAGAGGAAGATTCCGAGGCTTGGAAGGACAAAATCATCTACCGGGCTGTCGAGTGCTGCTACGAAGGGGTTGAGCTGAGCGAGCCACCTTTTCCGTTTGTCCAGCGATGGGATCCTCAACAGCAAGGCTCCTGGTCGCAGAAGAAGAACAAGCGCGG